GGGGGGGGTTAAGAGGCAATTAGAAGTTCTCTATCACTAGGTTTTCCAAAAGTATCTGTAACTTCTCACAAACTAATAATCTGCAGCTCTATTCAAGAGGTTGTTGGGCATCACAAGCAGGAATGGGAAACAGATTTTTGATGATGTGTTTGGTGTTTGTACGTCACAAAGGAAGTCCCTGGCAATTAGCTTGTAGCTTATTAGGTACATTTTGCAGCCACTTCCCACCCTACCTCACCCAGTCCTGCAATAAATGGCCAAGAGATTTTTTTTCCTCTCCTTTTTGCTCCATTGATAGGCTGGCTTGCTAGAGACATTTTTTCTCTCCTTTGGACAGTCATTGTGTGAGCTACTAGGAATTAAAGGGGTAAAATATAGTAAAAGTTTTATGCTAAACAAAGTTCTAATAGCTTTCACCCCTTAACATATCAAATGATTCATAACAATAATAAAAAATGATCGGACCTTAATCCTACGCCATTCATGTACACTTTTAGTAACATTAACGTCTACTCCAAACAGCTTAATATTATGTTCTATAAACACCACCTTTGGTTTAACATGCATATTTAAAACGTACCTCTCCGGCTCATGTGACTGGTGCTGGAGTTTTAACCCTGATTCACTTTATTACAAAGGGTTCTGGGTAATGGACTTGACTTTACTGAAGTTCAAAGACAACTAATATTCAATTTTTTCCCCCGAATGGATTTCATGACACAGGATAACCAAACAGACGCCACTTAATATCAGAAGCAGAAGTCCACAATGCATTTCTATATTTTCAATATAATTTTCCATTTACTTTAAAGATGTGCCCACCCTTTCTCCATTAGGGGACCTCACGTTAAAGTAATAAGAGAGATCTACTGACTTTAAGTTCCCCCTTTTCCCATTCTGGATATTTCTCGTCACCCCAAATCATTATTAACTATCTGTTGTTATTAACAGGGGTGTCCATTACAGAGAGTTTACTAGGAATGGTTGGAGCACCGTCTGCAATGGGTTAAAGGCACTTTCCTTCTTGGCACTGCTGCTCACTATGCTGTAAACTCCCACATGGTCTATAAACTTGGGTTTTACGGCTAACATTCCATTTTAGCTCAGGGAAACTTTGAACTAGCCCTCCAGATTCTTTGTAAGTAACTTCAGTTGAAGCCCAAAGAAAATAAATACATACAGGCATACAACTGGACGGATCTCCCACTCTCATCCCCCAACAGACACTTTCCTATTTGTTTACTGTTTACAGCGGAAGTCTTCCCCTATAGCCCCACAGAGTCATTAAGAAAAAATAAGCTGTTTACTGCTCCAGTCTTTATGACATTGTCTAGACTGCTCTCCTTTGTCATTGCATCCTCAGCTGTTACGGGAATTAGCTGCTGTACATTTGGACTACATTTGCTAGTGACATTTTATAATTTTTCAGCCTGAAATGGGGGGCGAATAATATGTATTTGTTTTGCCAAAAGATAGTTGCTCATTAATCTGGAGGAGATAGATAGATAGATAGATAGATAGATAGATAGATAGATAGATAGATAGATAGATAGATAGATAGATAGATAGATAGTCTGGCAAAACATGACTGCGAATCATTCAGACTTTCTCTGTACAAAATAAAAATACACATTGACAGACAAATATATAAGCTAAATGTACAATAACGGCGTACATCGTCCTGTATGCATACAAGTGTCATGCATATACAAACGTGTAAAAACATAATGTGTACAAATGTGTGTATACTAACAATTCGTCCATTTGCATTTAAAGGCCTGACAATGTAAGAGTAGGGTATCTCCTATCAATATTGTATTTGTTTTTGCATATGCACTTAAAGTGTCTCTCTCTCTCTCTCTCTCTCTCATAGATAGATAGATACAATTAAATCCTCGGTTATCCACACTGACAAACATTTCCATCTGTCTAGTCCTAACATTTTTTTTTGTAGTGAAGTCTATGAGAAACATGTTTTATCTTAGGCTTACACAATGACCCAGTCATATACCAAACAGTATTTTGACACATTAGCTGTTGCTTTCTGCTCTAGAGATTTTGTTTATTTTTTGGCATATAGAGCAGTTGTGAGATCATTTCTCCTTCTTCCATATTAAATAAATAATGGCATTGTAGGAGTTTCCAGCATCCGCAAGCAAACAAGGACTGATTCTGTTGGCCCTCCTTGTATGGTAGGTACCACACACAGGCCGCTGACATGAGCCTCTTGTCCTGCTGGCCACATGTGAACTGTAAGAAAACCTCATGACAGTATGTACAAATAGGTGTCATTTATTTCATTTACACAGAATGATACATGCATGAAACATTACCAGTAAGTTGTAGACTTTGTTCATCAACAAACTGATTTGTGGTTTGATCCATTTTTTGTATTATATTTATGATCCTGTATACCTTAAACAAACAGTTGTGCTTTTGTGTATTACAATGTTTAGATCCTAGTTAAAATGTAACCCTAGCTAGGTCTGAATATAAATTAGAAAAGAAAGAACCCTAAAAGGAAAATCTTTCTCTGTCTTTTCCTGCTAATATGAAAAGGACTAATTACAATGGGAAGAGACAGAAGTTACAGCTGCTATCTTTGGGCCAAACTAATGGACAGTTAATAAGAAATATGACGAATAATATATGGAATTCATGCGAATTATTCGCATTGTATTGCACTGATCCACATAGGGTTCTAGTCTTGGGTATGGAAAACACAAACATTTAACGAGTCCCTCCCATAATACTGTGACCCCATTGGGGTTTGAGAGTGGTGATTACAATGAATAATATGGCGAGACTGTACCAATATGGAAGCCCTCACACACGAATCCTGACAATCAATTATAAAAGAGTAATTTTTCCCCGCAGCCTTTGTTCACTCCAATCACCTTTACAAGGAATCCTTATGTTTAAATCCTACTGAATCTGACTGGGGATTTGAAGTGAGCACAGGCTGACCTGAGAAGTTAGCAATTTAGCGCCACAGACCGATTCACACATACAGATAAAGGCTTGTAAACAATCCAAATGCAAGATATGTGTGCACGAATGTGTTCTTGTAAAGCTCAAGAATCAATTATAAATCACAAACACACAGATGCCATTTAAACTGCCCTTGATAAACACAAATAGATAGATAGATAGATAGATAGATAGATAGATAGATAGATAGATAGATAGATAGATAGAGAGAGAGAGAGAGAGAGACAGACAGTCAGATAGATAGATAGATAGATAGATAGATAGATAGATAGATAGATAGATGCTGTAATATATTTCATATAGATTTATATGTGAATATATATATATATGTACATGCACATTAGACATGCACACGCACTCACATGTAAATCTATATGGTATGCATATTATGACATTCCCGCATAATATGTAACACTATACACACACACACATACAATCTTCTTTATCTGTTCCCAGGTCTTATAACGCAGTGCACGTTTTTAGAATGCAAGGATAGCAAAAGGATTGATACATCAACCTCGGAAGGAAAACATGGCTTCACTGTATGTACTCGGATTGTATGGAAAGCGTACATTGACAGCAATGGAAAATAAAACAGGCATTTTACGTGCACATACACTCAATGGCACTCACACATTCTTAGGCAGGCAACCATGACAGCAGAAATAACACAATTCATAGATTCATAGAAACTTTGGCCACTCTCTTCATTGTGATTGGCGCGTCTTCAACGTCTATCAAACAATAGCGTGGATAAAGACTGTTTTCACAGCTGCAAGTTCTCTGAAATCAATGATTTAGCAAAATGAAGAGATCCATGTCTCCAACAGTTACTTAAATTAAAAAAAGAAAAAGTTATTTGTGTTTTCAGTCCCTTCATGGTTTCAGTTATACCAAGTGCTCCTCATTCAGCTCCCTCTGTTACTTGGTAATAAGAATGTACATGTACAAATATCTAACAGAAAGGGCTTCTGAGCTAGATGGAGGACTGAAGGCAAAGGATCCTCTCAGACCAGGACAGTGCATGAGGAAGGGCTCAAGCAGCAAGTTCACAGCAATGGATTTCCAGAAAAGTACTGCAGCCGGTCCCTGCTTAGCTTTTTCTCTTTCATTCTCCTGTTTTGGAACCATATTTTAACCTGGCGGTCAGTGAGGTTTAGCATTCTAGACAACTGCAGCCTCTTCTCTTTATTTATATATACGTTGAAAAAAAATTCTCTTTCCAGCTCTCGAATCTGGAATTTGGAATAGGGGCACCGCTTCTTCCTTGTGCGGGGGGCACCTTGTGAAGGATAAGAAAAAGCACATGTAAAAAACAAACAAACATAAGGCAAATAACAAAATCACTTGTCGATATAAAGAACATCATACAAATTGCATTAGATATATGAACGTTGCAAAATTAATATTATTTA